GTTGAAGTCCCATTAAAAATACGTGTCCCGAGCGGAGTGTATATGACAGCTAACGATTTATGTTGAAACCGAACTATTATACTTTAAAGATACTTTAAAGATTCTACCGAAGTCAACTTCGCCAATAAAATGGATTTCAATGGAATTCAAAACCGTCTCCAACAAGTTTCATCGTCTGTCGTGATTCATCGATAAAGGCAACTCCCGTTTTCTCATTTCAGAGCGAAACTCTTCGATCGACGTTTTTTCTGGACGGCGTTAATCAAAGCTGATAGCATCTTCGCTTGTTGTTCGGAATTTCCGAGCTGCGCCGGACACATCGCAATGCACGCAGCACCGAGGTGATAAATTTTCGTTAAAGGCAACTCGTAAAGCGGCCTAAATATCGGTAACCGATATTTCGAGATGAAATTTCGCGAATCCGTAAAACGTACAAATAAATCCTCGTGTCCTTGGCCAGCGGCGTGATTAACGAGACCTTCGTTTTATTCTCTCACAGTACCCAGTCAGCAAGGATAAAAACAATTCCTTCTTCTTTTTTTTTTTTTTCAATCAGCACATACCGTAAATATCCTAACTCGCGGAACTTGCAGTCTCGATCCCCACCCCCACTCCTTTCTCTCATCCTCTTTTTATTCGTCTCCCGACCGGCAGTCTCGCGAGAGAAGTCGGCTCTCGCAGGCAGATAATAAACTGGAAACAATACGACAAGCGACGTTCCTGCACGACACGAACATGCTTTCAGCTTTAAAGCGCGATACCGCCGAGTCGCCACTCGCCCCGCCGCGAGGGAAACTATTTCATAACTGGGTCGAGCAAGTAGATGGACCGTGGGTGCATGCTGGATGCCGGATAAAAGTCTGGAGGGAAAAAAGACGGTACGAGCGAAACGACTTCCCGTTCGATTCTCTCTGTGCTTCTTCCCAGCAAGTCTAAGGAGGAGATTATAGTTCAATCGATGGCTAACGATCTCCCCGAGATCAAAGTAAGCTGATTGGGATTTTTCTAGTCGCTTTCTTTGTTTGACTTAATTGTTTGATCAAGGATAGAAAATATGTTACACGTGTTGTCACTGTCGAGGAAAATATCGTACGAAACGAAAGTTAGAAAACGTCCAAAATCAATCATATGGTTGAAAGAGACAATAAAAAATCGATCGCTTTCGAAATTTGTACACAACAATGCACATACAATTCAGGAATTTCTTTAATATAACGAATCTCGTTAAATCCACCACTGATATTCCAAGAATCTGTATCAAGGAAGTGATTATATAAAAATGTAATCAAAATCTTGCTCTATACACAACTACCACATTTTCAGGCGATTCGATGAGAAAAAACTCGTACAAAATTTCACATATTATGAATTGAGAAGTGCATGCAAGTATCATGACAAACCGTTGATCAAATATTTCTGTCATAATCCATCGCGCGACGAACAATAACAAATTTCGCATATGATCTCACGCTGATCGAACACGTGTATATGTCGGGCTACAATATCCAGATGATTTCACTGTACCAATCTGCCTCGGTTCCCGGTATATTATAATTTCTAATTTTCAACCGTGCTCGAAAATTTACTATATATTTTCGCGTTTGAAGCTGCTTTCTAAAGCAGGCAGAGAGAGAGAGAGAGAGAGTTATACGCGAAATGTCGCGTAATTCCCGCATTCAAACGAGATAATTCTCTGCCAGGCCAATTATTTCCAGATGTACAGCGAATTAACTCCCCCCTAATTGATATTCGACGAGCATTCGCCGCAAATTACGTATATATTTCTGTCACGAGGGGGGACCAGCGAGATCGCCCATCCTCCGAACTTCGCTCGGTTGATCTTTAATGCGAGCTCGCGTCGGTGATACGACGTTGTTCAAACGTTAGCGACGGAAACGGAGGTAAGGGGACGGTTACCGATGAAACAGACGCGAGCTACCCTGTTCCCTGCGATGAACAATGGACGCCGTCCGACAAAGACGGCAACAAACTCGACAACTCGGCGGCGTCACGACGCAGCACGGTGTCCAGCACGACAGATGAGGAACGCCGATATAAAAGACGATTCGTTGGGAGACGCTTTGTCGCGTGAAAACGCTTTTACAGCACGTCGATAAATGCCGTGGCAACCGAGCCACCCACTCGGTTTTTCGCCTTTGTCCGCGACAGAAACAACGAGCGAATTTCTAACCTCTTCGGGGAACGAATTTATCGGGGCCAGGGAAGATTTGAAGCTTCTGCTTCGGGTTGTGGGAATTTTGAAACGATTGCTAAGCGGAACTCGCTTTCGTTGAGTGTTGTGATCGAACGACGAATTACGTGCAAGTACTTTACAAGAGATGAAACAACACGAGAAATTCTATAAATTCTTCGGGGGAGAGATTAATTTTATTTCAGCGACATTTCCTTAGTTGTAAGTATATTTGAGTATAACCCAGGCGAAACGAATAATAAACTTATTACTTGTCAATAATTTCTGTTCAGTGACACCATACCGACGAGTTCAAAAAGAAAGCGACGAATTGTTGTATATGATTTGGTCACTCGTTATGGTCCGCAATCAGTTTGCGCAGGTGGTCAAAGTAGGAATTTATAAATATCTCTGAGTTCTTTTCTTTCTTTTTTTTTTTTTTTTTTTCTTTTTTGGTTGAAATTTCAGTTGAAACATGAGCCGGAATATGTGCTGGTATTTCTGAAAAGATTCATCGCGGCGCGTTTAGATCGAATGCTCGTCCGTTCCTCCACTGTGGCAAAATTCGTGCCCGTTTAGTACAAGCCGATAATCGAGTTATGTTCGCGGTGAATGCAAGCGTATATTTGTGTAGTTATTACGTTCTAGTCATACGTTCGGCGCTTGATTTAATCCTTAAATGGTATCGTCGGATTATACACGATCGTAGAATTTACGTTAGATCGCTGAAAATTTAAAGATTTCAATTTCACATTTTATATTTCCAACGACAGGGATGAATAATAAAAGAATATTGAATCGAGAATTTCAATCGAGTAATTTAGCCCTAAACTGTTCGATGATATCGGGCGACAAAATCGAACGAGCATTCTTCGAGCAATATTTGGAAGTTTGTCAAGTAATTTACGAAGTATGAATGAACGTTAGTTAAAGTTTATCAAAACGAGCGAATAGGGTGCAATTGTTTATTTAATCTAAAAGCACAATTGTAGATAAATCTTCAGACGAATTCTAGCTAGAATGAGTGTAACGAAATCTTCATTTTTCCAGCCATCATCGTTAGACGTTATTGGACAGTAAATTTACGTCATCGAACATAAAAATGATCTACTAATATCTACTTTTACCAATATTTTTAAATCGACGTTAACGCGGTAGTATTCTTAAGCAACAAAAGATAGATCTATCCCACTTACCAAATGATACCGCCCAATTTAAATAAAATCCGAAAAAGCACAAAGATACCTATGTCGGAGCATTATAAATATCCTGAAGAACACAGGCACACATTATTGCTCAACTTTGTTCAAAATCCAAGAAAATTATTTATAAATCGTACTTTGAAACAAGAGCAATTTCCATTTGTGATCATTCAGTTTGAACGTACCGTAATCGCAGCTATCGAACGCAGTCGCACTGACGTTTCCTTCAAATGGAGCAAACTCGGTGGAAGAAACTGAAGTTGAAACGGCTATTTCACTCGGTGTAATGGAGCAACGCGCGTATATGTGAAGAAGAAGAAGAAAAAAAGAAAAGAGAGAAAGAAGTTGACGCAAATTTTTGCGTAACGTTATTAATAATTGAGTTTGAAACTCCAATTTTCAGTGAAATTGAGCCGACGCAGCGTTTCCGTGGGAAGCGAGAGCCACTCTACGAGCGACCTTCCTTCCACCTCTTCTTTTTCCCCCTCCTTTTTTTTATAGGCAAATAAAAGTTCGGCCTTTCTTTGTTCCTCCACGCCATCCATGTAAACGACCTACTTTGATTTTGGTTAGCTCCGTGGCACACACGACTAGCCGGGATCCCGGGGCTGCGCCGCGCCTCGTAAATTCGAAAACTTCCGCCGAGCATCCGGCCTGCTAACGTTCTTCGATTCTTTAACAATATGACCCTGGCATATTGCAAAAGTATCAGGGAACTTCTTAAAGTGCTCCTTGGGAAATCGTTGTTCGGAACTACGGCACGAGATTAGGGTGGGGCATTCCATGCGGCGGGAATCGTTATCAGCGATTGTTTTTTCATCGTGTTTGATTCTAAAAATCACGGCGTAAATATTAACGAAACGATTGTACTTCGTGTGCGTTTTTTTTTTTTTCTTTTTTCTTTTTTGTCGGTTTCGTTCCACATTCGCAAAAATTTCAGCCCCGCGGACAGCAAACAACAGAAAAACGTTGATAAAAGAACAGCATGCCTGATAAAAATGAAACAAAGCTTGCAAACAATAAATATCGTTCCCAATCGGTTTGATCAGATCCAATTTTTAGTTTCTCGTGTAATATGTTGTGAAAATCTTTCATGAATGTATCGTGCACATTATGTGAAATATTTCGAAATTTTTCTCATCTCGTAGCGAGGTACTCGATTATTTTCTACGTAAAATGTACAAAATTACATAAACATATACAATCTTGCAATTGTTGATAAGAATATATTTAAGTAGTTGATTATTCATTGTACGTATTAATAAACTTCGATTCTTACGTTTAAGACGGTTCCACATACTACGTTTGTACTTGATAAATATTTCTTTCAAATTTGACCTATATAATCGTGAGAATCTTATTGAAATATTTCACACAACATACATCATATATACATATATATATATACACGATTTTCCACGAGTACTCCCGCGATTCGCATTGTTTATGCAACATGCACGGCATTCTTGGAGACGAGGAAAGAAAAAAAAAAAAAAAAGAAAAGGAAAAGAAAAGAGAGAAATTCGCAAGAAATTCATTCGAGAAGAAGCTACGTTACAGACTTTATCACTGGAAGCAGACATCGAAGAGACGAACTTAGATACTACCTTCTTTCGCTTGCACGAACCCGTGCACCTCGCAGTAACTTCCGGCGGAACCGGCGGCGCCAGGCGTGTCCAAAGTGAACAGAGTATTCGCCGACGAGCTGACCGCGTCGTCGGGCGTCTGTAGCAGACTGGTGGTCTGCGACAGTGTGCGTTGCTGGTGATGGGGATGATGATGGAGATGATGGTGTTGTTGTTGCTGTTGCTGCAGCTGCTGTTGCTGCTGTTGCTGCTGCTGCTGCTGCTGTTGTTGCTGCTGTTGCTGGGCTGCCAGGATCTCCTCGTGCCGGCATTTCGAGCAACGACGCATCTCCGAGCGAACACGCAGCAGCCAGACCATGCCGAACAGTGCCATAGCAATTTCAAGTCTCGGTGACCTCGATGGGTGCTTCATGCTCGCTGAGTCAAGGTCATCGAGGCTCCACGAGCCAACGCGATGCATAGCACTGAAATCTTTGCGAACGATTGCCCCCGTTCCCTCTCTAACCGCGACTACGCAGCAGCCTGATCGCTGGAATGATCGTTGCTCGTCTAGATACGTAACGTCGTTTTACCCTGTATCGATCACCGATCGTTCTTCTCGTATTTTCTTTCTTTTGCTTCTTTTCTTCTTTCACAGGTAAATTCGAATTCTCATTTGGAGGTTCGATTCATTCGACAGACACGTGAGGTTCCGTTTCGCCGAGACTTTCAAGGACTTTAGCAAGCAGTTTGATTTTCCCTTCAGCTATTTTGTTCCCTCGATCGTTTCCTGTGGATTTGTTTGTTTGCTTCTTCTTTTCTCTACAAGGATTCCGTTTCCAACCACGTTTATGATATTTGAAATTATCCTTCTTAGTACACTTTCGCAGGAGTATTACTTGGTTCTATTGGTTTTTCGCTTCTTCTTTCTTTCTGTTCCTTCTTTTCTCTTTTCCCCCCTCTCAGCTGGTTCCTTCTTTCGGGCAGGACGACCGAGTGGTTCGATTTCCAATTTTCAGTTCGTCACAGTCGTGCTCACCGTTAATGGAACCTATCCGCCGTAAATTCTTCGTCGGTCTACCTCCATTCTTCTTTGGATTACCGAAGTATCGAAGTAATCCTACTACACCACCATTTCAACGCGGCCCGACTGAAGCGCGTTCCCATCGATGTTTGATCTCTAACTGCTCGCGAGCACGCCCGTGCCGCGAATTTGTCCAGATCGAAGATCACGCGCGCCGTATCCTCCGGCTGCTTTCCACATTTTTCACCGAGCAAACGGTGAACGCGCGAGATTCGTCAGGATTACGATCGCTCGCGTCAACTACCGATATCGTACAACCGATGGATTACGATCGACCAAGAAAAGCGTCGTTGCTCCTCCAGCCGTGCCGTTCCACACCGGCAGAGCGACGAAAGAAGCTCGTCGAATTTTTCAGACGCTCGTCTCCGTGCATCGGAAGATTCCACGTGGTTCTCGTGGGCTACAGTGGGCTACGAAAATCGAAGGCACGATTGTTGATTTGAACAAGCGATGGATCGACAACTCCTGGATTGGCTAGCTTCAGCTTTCTCTCGAGAAAACGTACCTTTCGTCGTACGTTTTTTTCAGTCTCGTATGTGTATGTGTGTTTGTGTGTGTGTGTGTGAGAGAGAGAAAGAGAACAGAACATTCGACCAGCGTGGTACGAGCGAACGACCTGTCCACGCGAATGACGTTAACGACCAATGAAATCTCGACGGGCGGTGAACGACGGGTGGAAACTTCACTAATCTTCCAACTCTCCGTCGTCTCGTTGGCGAACGATCGCGGCTAACGAAGCCGACTTACCGAACACACGCCGCAAGTTACAGTTGGTCCCGTGTTGGTTGCGTTGAACGGCGATTGAACTTAGAAAAGTAGAAAAGACTAAGTCGGCGGGTGGTCGGCGCCAACTATGGAACACTGCCGCGAAAGTTCTCGGCGAACCGAGCGAGCGAGGCTGCCGTCGTTGCTTCGTTCACCAACTTTCCCATCTGACCTGTCGCCGCCGCGATACTAGTTGCAACGAGCCGGCCCGGCCAACTCGCGAGTCGCACGCGTCTGTCAGCCCGCGTTTCAACAGTCTCGGCCGCTGTTCCCTCGCCGCGATTCACCGTGGTCCGTCGTGCTGACGCGCCAGGCCGACGTCTTCTTTCCGAATGCAGCCCCCTGGAACGAGGAGGATCCACTCCCATTGAGGACAGCACTTCAGCCGATCAGCCGTGTTCGTTTTCACTCGATACGCACGAGTGGATACGGCTCCTTTTCGTCCGCGGGAACACCGACCGGGTGGGAGTCGTCGGTCCTGATCCTCCGATGATAACCTCGCGGTTTCTCCAAACGTTGCAAACCACTTTCGCGAAGCTTCGGCCTCACGTCGAGACTACTGGACGGGAAGGCTCGATAAGTGTCCGGGATTTCTTTTATCCGAACACAGAGCCAGACCTTGTCGATCCCACGTTTCCTTCTTTTTTTTCTCTCTCTCCTTTCTTTCGCTGCGTTTTTCTTCTTTTCTCCTCCTTTCTTACGAGCTGAATTCTATTACGAGGCCTCGGGACCGTTCCTTTCTTCCGTTCGCCTGCAAAAGTTAGACGAACCATGCCACCGAGCCTGATGTCGAGAGTCTACCGGCAAAAGGAAACACACTCGAACGGAGTCGGCGTCTTTCCTTTTTCCACCGTTTTTCTAGTTATCTTTCTAGCTTACTTTTCTTTCTGTCTCTTTTTTTTTTTTTTTGTTCTTTTCATTTTTATTTGTATCTTTTCGTCGACTTCTCGATGCTACGACGAGAAGAAGATGAAGGAGGAGAAGGAGGATCCTTCGTGCGATGCGGGTTGTCGCGCTTAATAACCTCGCGTTTGATACGACGAAATGAGACTACCGACTTCACGGAAGTGCATGTTCGATTTGTTTCGTTGGAACGAGAATATTTCCCGATATCTCTGTTTCGTATTTCAGCCGGGACGGAACCGACTGACTCTATCGCTCGTGTTTCATTGCCTCGATCGGGGAATATACGCTGACTCGCGAAAAAGCATTCGTAAACTCGTCAGAAGAAGTCTTCGTGTCCATGTGTTGCGCGCGTTATGCGAGACATTTTCGTATTTTATTAACACTGTAACAAGGACGCAATTGTCGTTTGTAATGTTCAAAGCCAATTCAAATATCTGCATAGAAATTATGATGAATTTTTCACATAAAATATAAAAGTACGCATTTAATAAAAAATTAATATATATGTACATCTTAAGCATGTTATAAATGTTAAATATCAAACATTGAATATCGAAGTTTATGAATTAAACATTTTTATGATTTTTACGAAATATATGTTTGTCTTACATTTGCCAAATTTTTCAAGAAATTGTTCAAAGAAAAATAAGGATGTTAAATATTTTACAGGTACTATTCTGTTCATTAATTGAATTATATTTGTATAATTGAATTATACTTTCTCTACTGGGAAGGGAATCTATTTTCGTCAAAAATAAATAAATCGAAAAATTACAAAATGTGCGTAAAAAAGTGTGATCTAGATAGAAAACTAAATTTTATCTACGAATTTAAAAAAAAAAAAACATTATGAATAGTTCAGAAATTTTAATTGAAAAGTGCATATGTAAGTATGTACAATATGTACGCAGATTTTCGCTACAGACGTCATCTTTTAATTTCCATATAAATTTTCACATTTTTTTTCTGCAATATAATAAGTCTCTCGCGTTACAGTGCTAATAAAATTTCCAAATATCTCGTACAACACGCACGATATATTGAAAGGTGTAAGCCCTGTGTATATTCGCATCGACACGAAGCCATTACTTTATGTGTAAAGTGCAAAATAAATCGCGATGATAAATTGCAGAATTTATAGCGATTAACCGTCGACGAACTACCACTCGTTCTCGTTCTCGTCCTGTTGTTCCAATTTAACTTTCGCGCAGCGATTTTCATGCATCTCATTTCTCTCGCAAGTCGCGAGAAAGACTAGCCGCTGCGAACTTTCAAAGCTGTTCAATTCCGTAGTCAAGGTTTCACGGTGGTGTGTCCCTGTTGAAACGCGAAACAAGGGTGAAGTTCTGATCGAGAGTAAATTACGCTCGACGCGTTTCGCCGCGGGTAAAAAAAAAAAAAAATACGCGCTGCCGAACTCAAGCCCCGGAACATGAAACAGAGCTGGGGAAGGAATTTTGTGGATTGACTTGAGCGTCGAGCAATTCCGGAGAGAATGAGAGGAACAGAGAGAGAGAGAGAAAGAGAGATGAGGTTGTAAATTGTGACGGGCGTCTCGACGAACGGCGTAGTGGAAAACACTTGTATGTTCTTCGAGTACTGACTGCTGGCACTCCTCGTCACCGCGACGAACAAGATGCTCGTATCTGTCACGTACAAGTAACAATTAAAACTTGAATCTTCTCGAGGGGGTTGCTTGTTAACGACGATTCTCCGTTTTCGAACAGCGAGTCAAGTTGCTCGCGAATTTTTACGTATTGGGCTTTTTTAACGACACGCACGCGAAAAATGTTGAAGATCTTTCGAAGAACAATGGAGTTCTCTCTTTTTTTTCCTATTCTCCTTTTATCCCATCTCCCCTCAAAATGTTTTGTATTCTAAATATGAAATTCAAAAATTCTTCATTTCAGGATATAATTAATTGAAATTAATTTCATGAAATGAAAATTCAATAGGATGCCGCGTGTTGATTAATTTGTTTGTTCCTTGTCGGATTAGATATCGGAAAAGATCGTGGATCATTTTCAATTTGAAAGTATTATACTTTATCCAATTTATTGCACTTGCTGCAATGAAACTGAAAGGACTGAGTGAATATCTCACAAAGATATCCCGATTTAAATCAAAGAAATGTATGGAAGTTTCTGCAATCACTGATTTACTTTCTTTTGCTTTCTAAATCCACTACCTCAGTCGAGAATTTCAGTGGATTTTTTCACTAGATACAAGATTTAATTTTTCAGCTAGTATTTCTATCGTTTTATTTAATCCTTCAGCTAATTTAGTGTCAAAATTATTAAAATTCTCGCTCAATGGGAATAGAATGCGAACGCCCTCCGTGACCGTAATATCGACGCAAGTGAGACATTTTCGGAATCAGATGGAAATATTCATTCATGTAGATTGCCTCGCTCCTCTGTTCTATTTTCGCCAAAAATAAATCCAAATAACAATCTCTGTATTACCAATATCGTTCCAGTGGCGCCAGTGGAGTGTTAAGATGATTCCCTGTCCTCCCCTCTCCCCCGCCTCAACCCCGTGCAAGAATAATAGTTCCCGATATGAAATAAATCGCGTCGGATGATATAGCAATTCCCTTCCCTAACAATCCATAGAAACGAACGCTTTCAATTTTCTGCTTGTCGGGATAAATCACGGTCGACAATAAAAATCGGTACAGGCTCCGTTCGAAGAAATAATTAATCGAGAATTGGATGAGGGGGGGGGAGGGGGGAGAGGAGAAAAATACGCCGAAATCCGTGTCGATATAATGGCCGATTAATACTCGAAACGAAGCGGAATCCTTTCCACGGAACGTTCAATTGAACGACGTTTCTGAGGCTTTTTGTCTGCTCGCTGCCGCCATCAAATGCATCGCGCGCGGATAAATAAACCGTGAATGAACGCGATTATAACACGGGAGGGAGGGAGGAGGATGAGGTAGAAATAATGCAGCTGCCTGCGCCCGTCACGCCGGTGCAGTAAATCACTGGGCGATCGCGGCCGCGAAAATAATGCATCGGGAACGTGAATGGATGTTAGGGACTTGGGGGAGAGGGGTGAATCGTCCGACAAACCGACGACGCGATGAACGATTCGATTGAAACGTTCACCGATACGCGATCACTTGGTCACCGATGTCCCTACCCGCCTCGCCCTATCATAGTTTTCCCTCCCGTGGCGATAGCACGAGCTTCGAGCTCCGATTTGCATTTAAGTGAGTGGCGACGCGATCGGGAGAGGATTCGGACGAATGTTCCACAGTGATTGACACGGTTTGAGGATATCGACGACTCTGTACGTTCTCAGTGATTCAACTGTATAATAATTTAAGCAGAGTTCAGTCGACGAAATCCATTTAAATTCCATTTCGTTCGTGTACATTTGCTTCGTCCTAGACTCGTCGCTAGGATAAAATTAAACATTGTCGAAAATTACGAGAAAGTATATCGCTGTGTCAGACTGCAGCATTGAAATCTCTGTCCTTGAGAACCTCGTTATTCAGACAAGTTGAAAAATCTCCTCGCCAACGGAACCGAATTACGAACGCACGTACAGAAAGAGAGAGAAAGAGAGAGAGAGAATAAGTACCTGCACGATTCCATAAATTATAATGATCCTCGACGCAACAAGACCGTCTGTATTTCGCGATCGGTATGGAGTGGTTGCCGAATGGGGCGAAGTTGCGTGCGGTAACTGTGCAAAGTTCAGAGGTGAAATTAGCGGAAAAGCCAGGTTGGAACCAGGAATGACGGAACGAGCGCGTTGCGTTCAGCGCAATTAAACGCGACGCAAGGTCCGCTCGGCAGGTCGAGTTGTTTCGCGCGATTGTACGCGGAGGGAGCGAGCGAGCGAGCGAGCGAGCGGGGCCGCGCGCATACGGAGTTACACGGGCGGAATTTATTTTGATTCCGCGCGGCGCAAAGTATCCGAGACTTCGTCCGCGATGCATGAAAATTTATGATATTCTCGTTCGTTTGTTCGTCCGGCCGTTCGCGCGAGAAATTTATTCGATGCACGTTATTTAAAAACACGGCTCAACGGTACGGAACGGCTTGGCTCGTGCGTGTCTGCTATGGGGAAAAAAAAAAAAAAAAATAGAAAAAAGAAATACGATATTAAAATATTATCGCGGATCCTCGCGTCCGTGTTATCGTATATTTACTCGGGAGAAGGCGTGTGTGTAAGAGCTACAGCCGGCCCGGAGAGAAAAATATGAAAATCCCCGGTCGGATGGATGCTCGAAAAAATGCGAAAATGCGTCGATTTCTGTTTCGATCTGATCGCTTCGCGATGTACAGGGAAAGATCGCTGAATTTAATCCTGCGAGACATGGCGTGACAAGAAGGTTACGATTCTGACAGAGTTGGGAAAACTCTGTCAATCTACGTCCAAAAGTTTAGTATCCTAAATTTGCCAGTGCTCTGCAGGGATAGGTAAGATCACACAGCGTTTGCAAATAGTCATACAGAAAAGTTTGCAAATACTTCGTTCGTGAAAATATTACAACGATAATATGACAAGCTCTTTTTCTTTTACAGTTAGTTTGATACAGAACAATGCATAGCGTTCACAGCACGTATTGATTCTGTTCACCATACTGATTGGAGAACAAAAGCTTGTAATATAGAAATATCTACGCGAAACGAATTAATTATTTATGAATCATGGATGAAATTTGGCCCGCGATAAATTCAACAGCGCATTTGAATTAACAAAGAGATGACAAATCCTTTACTGTCTACAGCTTTGTCTCTTTGTATTTTTATTTGTATTTTATTGGATTAATTGCCATTTATTAAGTATTCACGCGTTCGGATTCTATGATTTCCTAACTTCTTTTTT